GCTGACGTTTGAGTATTATTGCGCTCTTGTAATAGAGGCTTTGCACACACATGCCCCCAAATACTCCAGTGTTTTTACTGTGATGGTAAAATATTAAATCGCTACCAGAAGATGACAAGATAGTCATTATTTCTGTTTTCGATCGTGCAGTTCTGGAGTTGTAGCATACTACCATTGTATTACCTGCATGGCTAGAAGTTTCAGGAAGAATGAGGAGCATGTTGGACAATACATGCCAGTTCTAATCCTGCTGTGAAGGCTGCATGGTTACTCTATAGGGAGATGAAATGTGCTGGCTGGTGGGCAAAGTAGTGGTTGTGATGTTGCTGTTGAAGTTAGCTGGCATACAAACTGCAAAAACTCCCATTTCAAAAAACTTCAGGGCTGCTTTTACAAAGAGTTAGCAACACCCTCCCCTCCTGCCCCCGTAGTGGGAAGAAAACCCACCCAAACCCTAAACAAACCATCAAACCTTGAAATGACCAAATAATTTTTCCTTAATAAATTGCAAACCTGTTTAAATAAATCACCTGAAGGTGCTCACAAGGTGATAAATACTACACTGCTTCTTCCTGGTGAACTTCTATGGGTGGTGGTATTGGCCCCTTGAAAAGCAGGTACATCCATACTACTGTTTCAGCCTTAAGTCTCTCGGTGTGAGCCGTGCTTACTAATACTCTGTCAAGGTAAACCTGTGATAGTTTTCTCTTGTGAAGAAATTGATCTCTGTGCTGTTTGAAACATTGGCGTTGATGTTTTTGCTGTGAGAATTTGAGAATACTGTTGTATTTACTTGCATAATGGTGTGAGTGGATGAACTAGGATAACAGAGCAGTATATATAGGGCTAATTTTGGATGTTTGTTTTCCTTGGTTTTTTTTGCTCATGATGGGGATAATTATATCTGACAAGTTAACCAATGAAGGCATGTCCGAATTGACATGTAGTTAAGAAGAGTTCTGTACTTTGAATTTTATTTGTGCTGGCACATTTGATTTTTGCCATTCATGTAATGAGGCTTCCTGTGGCCAAGTTTTGTTTAGCTGTCAAAGCAGCACAAGAAATGACTAACAATGTAATCTGCTGCAGAACCTCTTAGTAATTTTACAAAACTACTCATGAAAATCATCGTTGGTGCCAAAATTGTGTGGTGTTTGCCTTTTATGCCTGATCAGGGTTTTGCTCTAAATGTTGGTTGTCTCGATGATTTAACAGTAACTTACTGCTTGGTCTGATTACTGATTTCTAAAACCTTTATTTTACTAGAAACAAATTATTGTGGATCCATCGACCTTCAGCGAAGAACGTTTTAGGCCTTCCCTGGAAGAACGCCTGGAGAGCATCATTAGCGGAGCAGCCCTGATGGCTGATTCATCCTGCACACGTGATGACCGACGGGAACGTATAGTTGCCGAGTGTAATGCAGTGCGACAGGCCTTGCAGGATCTACTTTCAGAATACATGGGGAATGTGAGTGTCTTCTGTTCTGTTTGTTTAGTTTGTGTGGTTTTTAATTCCATGTCATTATCTAAAATGTGGAATCGAAGCTATGTGTCTCGGAGCTGGTTTATTCCGTTCCCAAATGTAATTTGAACAGTAACCAGTAGTCCTGAAAGGTTTGTTGGGAGGCAGGATCAAACATACTTAAATCGTAAATGATACTTATCTTAAAATTGATCTCTAGCCTTCCAAGCAACTATTATCATCATAGCGTGTTAACCCTTCAGCACTGTTTTTATTTTATGACTGTTAATATTGGTTTGTATGGAAATTCAATAGAATCAGTCTGCTATTCCGGCTTGATTTACATAAGGTAACTTGGCTTATGGAAAAAGTAGTACTTCTGCACTTCTGTTGAAGCTTGGAAAGTTTAACTGTGTCATCTTTGTAGCTAAAGGCGTAGATTCTCGGACTCAAGGTAATTACGGTTGCTACTTGATTTGAGTAGAGGTGATGTACCAAGTTAAATATCTAGTAAGAAATCCTGAGAACAGTTTGGTATAAATATTGGACTGTGAGCGTGTTTTTTTCCAGTGTTTAGACATTTGATGTGCGCGCAGTATTTGAAGACTGAGACTGTTTCTGCAACTGGAGTAAGTGTCATGTCATGCGGATGAGCTGCTGCGTTTGAGGGCATCATGATATAATATTGGACTTCCCTTCCTTCCTTTGCCTCTCTGTTCTTATCCTGGTGGGTTTTAATCTGAATAGCTTTTGCTGTGTTGAGAGGTAAGGTTAGGATATCATAAGATTGAGACTATGTCTAGTCTTTAAACTGAAATGCTCTTAAAGTTGATTTCAGGAATAAAGTTGCAGAAATGGCAACAACTTAAGCAAACTCTGTGGCTTATAGCACTGTGGCAAGTAAAAATTGGCTGAAGAAATCTTAATGGGATGAGGTGAAGTATTATTTATACGTTTGAGGTGAATCTTAGTTCAGAGATACCTTTTTTTTTTTTTAAGACAGTAGAATTTATTTAGCAGCATCACTGTGTAATGTACCTTACCTTCAAACCTTTTGGCGAAAACTACTTCAGCATAGAGTAAAACTGGTCCAAAGACTGCCCTGTGCAGATTAGGGTGGTATAATTTGGAGAACAGATGCAGTGTGTGGTAGAAAGAAAGTAAAACAAGGATTTCTGTTTACCAAAGACAAGGACAAAGTAATTGAACAGAACTGAAAGCCAAGTCTTATGTAGCCTGCGGGCTGAGCTAGGTACTTCATGTAGTCAGTCTTAATTGCTTGTGAAAGTAGCTTGTGCTCAGCATTGACATTATGTAGAACTTAAGACTGCAACTGGGAAGCAAACCGCTAAGTTGTGCCGTTTAAAATTCCTTTCAGAGCAGGGTGTTTTATTAGTGTATGATGCATCTGTAATAATGCCTCAAACAAATGTGCTGCTGGAGTGGATGAAGCCCTGTCACATGATTCAGAATAAAACATCCACCAAATGCTAATTAAAAATGTGGAAGTGGTAAATGCTTGGTCTTGCACATGAGAGTTGGTGGCATTTCTGTCATTGAAAGTTGGTCAATACCTGTGTAATATTGCAGAGCTTTGACTTCCTTTTGCAGAAATGCCTATCCTCCTCCTTGGCCGTGTACTGTTGTCTCTGATATGCGAGTTAAAGTAATCACACTGAGATGGAAAGAATGTATTCCCTCTGTTATCTCTTTTAACACATTGTGAAATTAGTGGAGCATACTGAATTTTTTAAAGTCACTGCTATGTTATGATTGTAGACAGTGTAGTTGGGGAAATGAGATTAGAAATTCAGTGAAATGGAGTGGAAAAAGCAATTGATAAACTATGGTGAAAATGTGGGATGGTGTGTAAAAATCCATACTGAGGGTAGAAAAAAAAAACCCTCAATGGTTAAGTGAAGAATGAATAATAGTTGGGAATCGAAACAGTGAAAAAGGTTTGATAAATCTACAGGAAGAATCGGGATGTGCTGACTTACGGTAGTGGTAGAGGAAATATCATACATATACATGATATGACATACCCACAGCTACAGTACCCAGCCGTCTTGTTATGCTTTTCTCCAGTCTCCCTTTGAAGAAGGAAATGAATTGGGCATTAAATCTGTTAATTGCCCAGCACTTGCAGTGCATCATAAATCCTATCTGAGTGCTAGAATAAGAGGTATTTATTGGCCAAGTGTAAAAATTCAGAGAGAAGATTGGATGAGGAATACACTGGAAAGGCTGAAGTACAGGAATGTCTTGAGGCAGATTCTCTTTTAGTTTTAAATGCCTTCTGTTTTAGTGACTTCCTCTAGCTTTTGGGTCTTCTTTCAGATCTCCGGTAATAAAAAGGCTGTTTCCTAGATAGTTTATAGCTCAAAGTTTAGTGTTTTGGACCTGTAGTTTAATGGTCTCTCTGGGCCTGTCCCCAGGAGTCTCTAAGTCTGCAAGCGTTGCATGCTGTGTTATGATGTGTGGCAGAAGTTTCCATCCAAATAACAGTTTTCAGTAATAAACTGAATTGTAGGATCTCTTGACCGCTGCTGTATGTGATGGCATGGTAGTGAAGCCTGTGATTGTGCCCCTAAAAGAAGGGCAAGATTTGCTTGTGCGGTAGTTTGGTACAGAAGTTTGTATCTCCTTTTCTTAGATTGGCGTGTGTGTTATTTCCTTTTCCATCTAGCACACCCATCTCGCCATTTTTGAGAGTAGTCCAACTTGGTCAGACTAAATGTTGTACATCAAGGGCAGTATCCTGTCTTGGCAGTGGTCGGTAGTGGATCCTACAAGAAAGAGGACAGTAACAAGGGAGGTGTGTAGTTTTAATTACCCAAAGTATTCCCCAAGTGCTAGCAGTCTGCAGCTCAGATACTTCGGGAGCTAGCTTTGCTGACTGCGTTTAATGGCTCTTGATGGACTTTCCCCAATGAATCTGTATAGTTTCTTTCTGAACCCTTACGAACTTACAACGTCCATCATCTTTGTTAGCAAGGAGTTCTTCTGCTGAAATAGGTGCTGCGTGAAGAAACATATTTTGTTTTGAAGCAGAGCAACCTTCCGCCTGTTCTGTTGGATGTTTCCTCCATCTCATTTAGGAAAAGACCCTGAGCAGTTACTCCTTGCTCATCCTTTTCTGTACCACTTGTGTTGTTTCACAGCCATATAATGTAGGAAACTTTGGTCTTATCTTCCCCAGAATTAAGTGTCCTAGTCTTATTAGGTGCTTGCCATAAACAAGATATTCAACGCCACCTCTCAGCTTTGGCTGTGCCCTCACTATCAAGCAGCGTAGTGGATTATGATGAGATCTGTAGACTTAATTGAGACTAAATGCCAGTGCTTATCTGCATTTCACAGAAGTTTGCATCAGCTGATTTTAGCTTAGTCTTGTGGGCTGGGTTCTAGTTAACATTTGGTGTGGTAGTGCCTGTCTCCTTGTTTAGATTCCCTCAGAGAATCAGAATTTTAAGTGCTGACCCAGCCTTAAGCAGTGACACCAGCTCAAGCGGCCCAGGAAGGCTCTGAGATGAGAATCACAGTGTGCAAAGCAGCAGTGATTGGGAGATGGGTTTAAAAAGCGCAGTTCTGATCTAAGACAAAATGCTGATGTAAGCACATTCCACGATCATCTCCTACACCTTGTCTAGATCTCCAGATACCCTTTGAGATTTGGGGATTGGAGCTGCATCTGCTCTCCAGGATTCAGGCAGTATCATAGTATCTTCTGGTTTTGTTCTTTAGTCTTGTACTAACAAAGCCTAACACTTGATTTGCTTTCTGAAAACTGCTGAGCACTGAGGTGGTATCTCGGTGAAACGGCTGCCATCAAGATTGAGCTTCCAAGGCATAGTGGTAGGAGTCTGTTTCTGTGAATGTTAAGTTAGATGGTCTTTCCCTTGTACATCAGTTATTATCTATGTCTGCTGAACTTCATCTGCCATTTTATTACCCAACCTCCTTAAAATGCCAGCTGTTCATCCTTTAATTGTAGCAACTGATTCTTTAGCTTTTTCCCCTCATCTTCCACTTCGCCTAGGGAGAGCTGTTTTCCATTATGGCTTTTTCTCACTTCTCACAGTTCCAACAGAAAATAGTTTTCCTTTTTAAACTTGCATTGCAGATCCCTCCTGGATTGAAATAGCGAACGTGAATATCTATGTATTTATTTTTTTTTAATTACTTGAAGTAAGCTTAAGTCTTACTGCTAGTTCTGAATGACAGAGCAACAATGGAAGGGCCTAAAAAAATTTATTATTGATTCTGATTAGCATTGTAAAAGGGGAGTGGTCCAAGGTTTTGGATCTGGGGTCAACTGCCTGGAATGCAGTAAATTGACCATATCAGTCATAGCTCAGTATGTACTACAACTAATTGATGGCAAGATCCAGATCTTTGTGTGATCTGTTGCAGTCAGGCATTCTTGGTGTGTATTTTATTAATGAAATGAAAAAATTTCAAAGTATATTTGAGTTTAGCTGGACATCGATACCAGACTTTGGCAGGGGAAGAGGACAGAACAAAGCATCTACTTGAATGATATTCAGGATTAATAGTACGCCAATGAAGAAGTTAGCAAGAAAGCTAGGATCCTGAGTACAGCAATATAGCAAAATACAACGGAAACAGTCTTTTGTGTCTAACTCCATAATCTTGTGTGGGTAGACATTGACCGGTTACAGTGTGCTCCAAATAAAAAGTATGAAGCAGAATTATTTTTTTTTTGACACTTTTAGCAATTTATCCCAGTGTTGCCTTTGCACTAGCAGATGGTGCGATACCTCTCCCAGTGTAGAGAGCAACTACAATTCTTGTCAAGATCTCTGCTTTTCTGTACTGTATTAGTCAACTCTATCTCAAATTTATATGTCTGGTTTTCATTGCAGTTACGTTATCTAAACTACTTAAAGTGAATGCATAAAAAAAGAACAGTGGGCTGATAGAGCTGAAATATTTCTGCATTTCTGAGAAGCTGGTGTGTAGAATGGAGAGGTGAGAAAATA